GACTAGAAATCAGTGGTTAAGTTGTATTTACAACACTGTTCCAGAACAGTTCAACCCAAATATTCAGATGTGTGCAGCGCATTTTATGGAGGACTGTTTCCTGATCCTGGTAAAGTAGACTACAATGCCGGCTGTTCTGACTCACAGAGTGTAAGTACGTTTTTTTTATATTTAAAGAATTTGCCACTGATGATTCAAATGTGAGTTTTGAGCAGTGTAGAGTAGCGCTTGTTGTTTGTCGTTTCTCCGATCACAAATGCAGACATGGTTTTATGTTTACGCGGCGCGATACGCAACGCAACGCGAAAAAAGACAGTATAAGTCATTATAATCAGTAATTATGTCCCCACTGGATGCAACAAATGCCTCATTTATAATGGGTTTTAATGTTTTTTTCTCGTCGCTCCGGCCGGACACAACATCACAATATGGTAAGGGGCGTAACATTTCCGTCACACGTTTGAGGCATTCGGCCAATCACAACGCACTAGATCGCTGGCCAATCAGCGTACACCTCGCTTTTCAGAACGATGAGCTTTGTAAAAATCTACGCTTTTCAGAAAGGCGGGGCATAGAGGAGCAACAATAATGTACATTATGTGGAAAATAATGTGTTTTTTGAACCTTAAACCGCATAAACACATTGCATTACACCAAATACACAAAATAATGTTCTTTTTAGCAGCATCATATGACCTTTAATATTTGGTCATTTTCCATGTCACGTTAACTTGTTAAAAACGTTTTATTCATTACTTGAATGATTTATCTCAGATAGCAGGAAAATATCTTCAATTTGGTTTGCGTAAAAAGTGTGCTACATGTTTTTCCATCCGTAACATGTTTTTCCCTTCTACATTTTGCAAGACTTATTGAGAAAGTGATCGATCCAAGCCTGGAAATTAATTCCAGCTCTCGGCTGAATGTCTTTCCACAGTGATGAATTGAGAAAAGAAGCTCGCCAGCTGAAGAAAGAAATACTTGCAATCAAACAGCGAAAAGAAGATGGTGTGAAGAAAGAAGAGGATGTCAGTGAGGGTGAGTGTCTGTGCCACAAAATCACAGCTGTTTGTCTTTTTATTGACAATTTGAAAAAGCCCTGTAAAATTACTAGTATTCTTTGAAATGTCATGTTTTGTACTGTTGTAACAGTGAAAGCGTCATTTATTTCTCACACATGGTGAAATGAAAGTATTTTATCCATTCCCAAAATCAAGTCAACATGTACTGAGATCCTCCAAACAACTGAATTGTTCTTTTTTTTTTGGAGTTTTGTTTTTCTACATCAGGCCTTGCTTTTTATGTCAAAATTATCTGAAGCTGCTGTGTGTGTGTGTGTGTGTGTGTGTGTTTTGAAAGCCTGAATGTTGGCTGTGAGCGAGCGTGCGAATAACATTAAACGTTGGGCATTGCTAGCTGTTATTTAGCTGATTCTTTTAGACATGCCTAGTTAATTGCTTACCTTTTGTGAGAATTTTGAATAGCAGTGAAACCTTTTCAGTCTTTATTCGGTAATCATTTACTCAACCCCATGTCATTCTAAACCTGTGAATTCTTGGATATACAAAAGGAGAAATTTTGCAGGATGTCCTAAAATGGGCCTATTTTCATTTTTTCATTTGTCATTTGCCAGAGTGTTTCCAATAGCTATTTGATCAGTAAAATGCATTAAATTAGACAAGTTTAAATATCCCCCAATGAAAGCAGCGGTTACCAGGGTCTGTCAATCTCTAAAAATGGCAGAAGCCCAATAAAGTGGTCCATGTGACACTATATTTCTGCTTCTCTTTTGAAGCCATACAATACCTTTGTCTAAGGAACAGACAAGATTTAAGTTGTTATCCACTAAAAGTGGATAAAGTTTGCATTTTATTTCTTATTTTAAAACCCCATTCTTTTTTCAAATCTGACAAAGAACATATCCGTGTCTTAATTTCAAAAAAAAAAAAAAAGTATTCTATTTTGCTTAAAGAAAATTACTATAATGCATTAAAGGTGCAGTAGGAGATCTTGGAAAATGCTAACTTTAGCCTGATAGCACTGAAAGCGAACGTCCCACCCTCCCTGCAATCGCCGTCCAAAGCCACGCCCCCTGAACGCATTTACGCTCACAGACCAGAATACCAGAGACAAGATTACTACAATAGGCTACATCAGCAGTTCCTAATTCCAGCCCATGTTCCGAAGTGAAGTAAACTTCAACGGATTTCCCCTGCTCAGGGAGGAGGGAGCAATGAACACTGTGTAGGGATCATATCGATCGGAACACAGTTCATGCACGTAGCTCACTTCTAACGAGCTGCTTATCTGAATCACGCGAGGACTGTATTAACTGCTGGGCTACATCATGTGTCATTCACCGGTGAGAAAACTTTAAAAGTACTACAATACCAGGAAGGAAGATCGGGTTGTTGATGTTTGTCTGCCATTCTCGCTCTGTCTGCACAGCGTGCGTGAATGTGCTGATGACGTATCCTGTCTGTGCGAACCGGGTGTGCAGAGGTATGCAGATACATACGATTACAGGCAGGTAGGAAAGCCAACGCTCGGACCGAGGGTTTTGATTGGACGAACATTTCTTGGTCCTACGCCTTCCACAGAATATATAATGTAATACAGATAAATACATTTAGACCACTTAACTTAATGATTGCTATTGGGATGTGAAGAGACTTTTCACCAGCATAACAAAAAATGTTTCTGAAGACAATCACCTATTGCACCTTTAAATAAAAAACATAAACAGATGTATTCTTTAATTTGGTATTTATTATTTGATATTTGTAACGTTTTTAATTTATAGTGATTTCAGATATGAAAAGATAATCAGAATACACAAAATTATTGCTATGGCAAAGTATAAACTATTGCGTTGTAGTAAAGAGAATCTGAAATTAATTATTTGTTGTAATGAAAGTTTGGGGAAACGTATGCTTAATTGTTTAATATAAAAATACCATTACAATGTAAAAATGAATGGTCTTAAAAGTAGACTTTATTTTCATTATGCAAAATAAATTTAAATTTTTTTCCCTCCACTTCAACCTGAAGTGAAATGTGACCAGGACATATTTTCAAGCAATTCACTCATTTACTGGTGTGATTGTAGCAAATGTAACGGGACATTCAAACTCATCTGAAGGAATGGTGTGGGTCTTAAACTTCAAGACAAGTCTGGGTCAACTTATTACAATAAAGTTAAAGTCTAGTTTCTAATATTCTCCTGTTTGCAAAGTCAAATCTTTATGTGGTCTGACAGCATTCCTTTCCAATATTTATCATAACCATAGAAATGTGCCTCCACCTCCCAAATGTCTGCAAGCTTGATATTTTGTGGCCAAATCAGACAAGAGCAAGAAGCTATTTGAAAGTTCTTGTCAATACCGAAGAAGACATTATCCTCACAGTCCTTTTGAGTTGTGCATCAGTGATGAAGAGGAAGTGTAATCAGAAGGGTTACACATGTTAAATGAAGATAAGAGGTTCCATAAATGCATTTACACAGTTAAATTGCAAATACATAATGTTAAAAGATTAATGTTTTCCTTTTTTTAAAGTGGCCCTTTTATGCATTTTCGAATATTACCTTTCATACAGTGTGTATTGTAGCTGTCTGTGAATGTAAACACACTGCAAAGTTGTGAAGCCGACAGTGCACGATAAATAAAATTTTTGTCTCTCAAAAAAAAAAAAAAGAATCGACTCTGAACAGCCGTAGCGAGTCGTCAGGATTTCCAGTCTCATTTCCGTGATGGCTACACGACGCAGGGCAACACATTTGCATAATGCCCTCCTATGTTCTACATTGTCCGCCTGCGAATAACTTGGCCCGCCCTCAAACACTATAGCTTGCGCTGTATGCGGTAGACCAATCACAAAGGACTGGGCCATCTGACCAATCAGAGCAGAGTAGGCTCAGGAAAGGAGGGGTTTTGAGAGACGGAATCTTAGAACTGCTTTGAATGAATCATTTACGAATCATTGAGAACTGAGGTGAAATTAAATATATATTATGAGAAAACTAAAGTGTTTTTTGATCTTGCATGCATGTAAACCTGTTGTAGGAGACTCCCACAACTGTATAAGGAACCTTAAAAAGCTCATGCTCCGGCAAAACAGGACAATCTCACGCACTGAAAATGTCAGAAACTCTCAGTAGCTATTAGTACAAGCCTGATATCGTTACAGAAAACATACTCTGTTTAAAAGTCATTCATCTGATTGTTCTGTGCGTAATTACACAGACGCACGGCACGATAAAAATAATGACATAGCTGGTCTCATGGTGCCTTCGCGTGCGATCACAAACTTTATAAGTCCCACTTGTGATTATGAGCTCGACAAATTCAAGCGGTCGACTTCACATTGCTTTCATATGCAATTGCCAAGAAGCTCTTTTGGAAAACAAAATATGGTGCGTGATGCTTCCTTTCTCTGGACGTTTGTGCACGAAGCATTGGTATCGATCCCTCTTTCAGAAGCAACCTTTGCACAACTCCAGCGCTGAACTGACCATCGTTTGTGAGGCAGTCCGAAGTAAAATGATTAGCACAAACATATAGGACTTTACGTTTTTTTTCGGGACTTGAGATGTTGTCAACGTAGGGAGAAATCTGGAACCGCTCATTTGGAGAGACTGTTTATGATTTATTGGGATTATAAAAAATGAGTGGGTGGATTTTTACCATTATAGGCTGGTTGTTTTCACACACTGCGGCCACACAGCTGTGTTCAAACACCTTTATAAAAGTGATTTTTGCATAATAGGTCACCTTTAGTTATGAAACCAAACCACCAGTAGGTGGCAGCAAGTCATTGTCTTAATGAGTGAGTCATTGATTCAACAGATTCGTTCAAACGGCTGATTCATTCAATAAATGAAGCAAGTGACTGTCTTTATGAATGGCTCACTGAATCATTGACTCACCCGATTCATTCAAAAATGCTGAATTATTCAGTAGCGAAACACTGTTGTGTGTTGCTCAGAGATGCGCGACTGTTCTGCTGTGGCTTTGCTTAGAACCTTTTTCGTTTGCGAAATAGAGCAAAAACGGTCAATAATGTGTCCGTTAATATTAACTACTGTTTATTGAACTACTGTTGTATAAAATCAATGTCACATTTGCAATCGTGCTGATAGTCGGGAAAACATCACTCTTGGTCGTGTGATGTTGCTTGCCTATATAATATATATTTTATAGAATATCTTTTTTTTTCTACCGCAGTATGTTTGTTGCGCTTATTAGTTCTGATATCTCCGTGAGTCAGACAGGCTGCGCAGCCTAAATTGACGCAACCTTGATTCTGTCACTACATCATCCGTTATCAGTCACCGTTTACACTGAAGGTAATAAAATCAGAATCATTCTCGCCAAAGTTTCGTGCTGCCCTAGTTATTGTTCGCTAATGACGTTTGAATCAGATGAGTTGTCAGGTCGGGCAAGTAAAATTCTCTTTCACTTGCCCCTTCACAAAATCCACTTATCCCGGACAAGCGTTAATGTCGAGCCCTGGGTAAAGACTCTAAGAACTTGCCGGAAGTGCAAACGGGACTTGAAGCCTTTTCTGTTTCTCAGATCCAGAGAGCACTCCAGGCTCTAGGTTTTTTGCTTTACTTCCTGTGAGGATTTCTGCATGCTTGAGATTTGCACAGACAATGCTTTGACTTCTACAGAGCTTTCCAATGGCCCTGTTGTATATCACTGTCTTCACATTGTGTGTTCTAGGAGGGCAAAGGTGTTTCCCCTCACCCTAGTCAATGTTTTCAGTGTTTTTTAACGTTTGGCCTGGAATGTCCTATTTACACTCAGCAGCCAGTGCATGTTTGAGGCCTACTTACCTGAGCAAGAAAGATGGCACTTACTAAAAAAGAATTACAAAGAGCCATTTTAGAGAGTTTGTGTGATGGGATATTCATAATATCATATCATAATCATTAATTTAAACTTTAGTTAGTTTAACTTAACATTTAGAATTTGTAATGTGTAGAAAATCTGTTTAGTTCAATTGCACATTTAAATGTGCAATAGTACAGAAGG